TATTGGTTTATCTATGAAGTGTGTTTTTTTTTTTTATTTTTTGTGTCCGTGAGCAAATTTTCTACTAGTAAACTTGCTCCGAAGTAGCTATCAAGTGTAGCACTCTTCTGAAAGGTAATTTTATCTAGTTGGAGTATTGGGAAGGTCATTTATTTTTTTGATTTCCTAAGGACTTTTCAAAACAATTGGGAAAAACCCGAAAGAAAATTAAAAAGCAAACGGCAAATATACACGGCGCGCCGCGACGTTACCGTTTCCATTATTTAAAATTTTTAGCTTTTAAATTTTAACTTTTTACGCTTTATGTTTTTTATAAAAAATCTTGCAAGAGACCTATTTTATTAAACTTTTAATCTAAATGTTTTTCATTTTTTCTCTAAGTATTTTAGTAATTGAATAAAAGTTCAAAGAACAGTAAAATTTACGAAAATGATGCTTTTATTATTTTCAATTTTTTTTTTTTTTTTTGCAATTCAATAGTTAACAGTTTTATTATAATATTAAAAACTGTTGTACAAATATATTATGTCATTAAATATTATATACAAGTTTAGATTAAATGTACAATAAATGTTAAGGGAAACTAAACAAATTTAAACAATTTATAAGTAAATGATGACAACCCTCCCTCAAAAAAAAAAGCAAGGCCTTGTATTTGGGGTGAGCGAGTTCAATAAGTCAACAGTTGTACCTTATTAAAATAAATTTATTACAGATTAAAGCTAACTATAATAATTAAATTAAGCAAATAATCGAATACTACCAGAAATTAAAGTTATTTAAATCTAAAGTATACAAATTGTAAACTAATATTGATTTCATTTTAAATCTAGTAATATTCATATTTAACTTTTTACATAAATCGATTCTCAAATGAACAGTATTGAATTTTGCAAATTGTTTATTACCTTTTATACAATTTAAATTACTTAAATTTTTTAAGCGTGTATTGCAAACACGATGTGGTTTTAAATAGATTCAAGATTAGTTTATTATAATAAAGGGTTTTTAAAGTGTAATACATTAATATTTAATATTTATGAAATAAACGAGCAAAGTAACGTAGGTACAATTACCAGTTCCATCACAAAAAATATCAGTGTTGCCGTATAAGTACGCCATAGAATTACACAATTAATTACACGCATTATCCACATACAGGCGCCCCCCCGTAACCACTGCGGCGATCGTATGGGAGCCACCGGGGTGGGACAGAGACACAGAGACGAAAGACGCGTAAATCTTTTCCGTCGAATCTTTACTTCTCTGTGTTCGTCTAACGGAAGCACTCTTGTTTTACTCATCCAAAATCCTTACTACCTACATCTTTCCAGACCTATACGGCAGTTGCGGATACCATAGACGGGCTGCTGTATTTGATTAATCCACATCTCCTCGAACCTGGTAGTTGTACATATTGTCACCTTGTTTTCGATAACACATTAAACGTGTTTGTCATTTTATTTCTCCAATAACACATTATAAACATACACGCAATACATTACGCTTGACTGTCTTGAGCACAGACCTAATATACCGCGGTTTGTGGTCGTCACTCAAGAATCAAGATAAACGGCTGTTTGTACGTTTTGTATTGTAACAAGCATTTTAAAGCAAAATGGTTGCACAATAATACGTTGGCTAGCGATTCGATACACTAAACGGATGCATCTCCCGCAAGTCGTCACTCGACTCGATGTTTGAGTATAGTCGCATAAATATCTAACGACATGTGTAGTTGACCTGATGACAAAACAATTAGAAAACCTGGTTGTGTTTATTGTAACAGTTCATCGAAACCTGCGTGTCCTTATACCTGCTCCTTATATTTTGATTCCGAGGAACGAACTTCTTGCGAACTTCAAGCGGTGTACCGAGGTAAGCGATTATTTCCATATTCTCGTAGTAGAACATTAAGTAAAAAATTAGGTGGATGCTGATAAATGAATTAAGAAAATAATCTCGTGCGGTAAGTAGCTGCCGGTCAATATTAAACATAATACGTCTACGTCTTTACATTAGTTTATATGTGTATATTATGTCGCGACGATGGCCGTATAATAAACATACACACATAACACACACACACACACACACACACATCGACGAACAAACCGCCGCGTATCCGTATACATACTACGCAGTAACAATATCATTTCACACCATATACCAATATAATTGTTCTATTCTGTTATTTTATATTTTATTTTATTTCTATTATATTTGACTGTTCGTCTCTCATCCTTCACACCATACAATTCTACCTTCCTCTTTCTACCCTTATTTTATCTTTACTTTTAATTTTTATTCTACTACAAAATTTAATATTCTAAAACCACAAAACAGATTAATAATAATTATTGTCGGATGCAACCTAGGCTTTTGCAAAATCATTTTTATTAACTAACGCATCGTAGTCTCTAAGCACACACGATGAGAATTGTATGTTCCACCCCAGACTTCTATACCATAACTAGCTATAGATTGTGCAAGTGATAAATTAACAAGTTTCAATAGTCAAGGAATCAGTATACCTTAGCTTTTTAAAAATATAAACAAATTTACGAATCGAGACGGTAAATATGATTTATATGATTTTACCGTTTAATTTTTTCAACAACCATAACACCCTAATATTTTATTATATCTGCATTTTAAATACTTAAGCATGAACCATTATCTGACTGTAAACAGTCAAGTCTGTAAATTACTAGAGGTTCTGTAAATTTAAAAGGTAATATACATACCAAGAATTATTTTGAATTGAGCTCTAGTATATTATTGTCTAACCAATTTTTAACTATTGTTAAACAAAAAATTTGCAATTCCTTTAACTCATTCACACTGTTTGCTTTAACTAAAATGACCGTATCGTCTACGTATGAAAGAATGAATTCATTTATATTAGGATCTAACAACCCGTTAACATAAATAGTAGATGTGCCACTGAGCGCTAGTTGGATTGTCACATTTTAAGTATCGTATGTATACGATTTATTGAAGTAGGTACGAAAAACGTGTATGAAGTACGTGTATCATCCTCATTTTCGAATTCTAGCCGATTTACAGTAGTGGTCGCCAGTACTTCACTTTTGAGTTTCGGATCCAAAGCCGGTAAAGTAAAATAGATTACTTTAATTATTGCAATATCAAAAAAAAAGAAAAAAAAGAACTGATACTGGGAGTGGGGGTGGTTGTGGTTTTTGTTATAGGTGGATAATGAGAAAGCTACGATATATAAAGTTATTTAATTCATACCTGCAACCAACGATAAACCATTGATAACGAAAACCGATTCAAAGCGAAGTTCGGTTAAACGCGTCTTGAAAAGCCGTAATATTTACGATTTTCGTCAAAATTTGATTTTATAACTAATAAAAGAACTACATTACATTCAATTTTATTTTTTGAAACAAAATTCATTTGGTTTTTCCCTATTACCTACTCGACGTGGATTTACAAAATAAAAATTCTGATTAAACTCGGGTTTCAACTAGTGACTTCTGGGTTGATAACAGGTATATACCACCACTAAACTACTAGAAGCATACTATAATATTGACACGAGTTCTTTAACATACCACATATAATATCCGCATAATATCAGAACTTTAAAAAGCTATAATTTCGAAACTAAGTCAGTCCGCTCAATTCTGACTTCATTATTATTCTTAAATCGACAATATACCTACATAATATATTGATAACAACACAAATTGAAATTTTTTTTTCGGTTTTACTCAGTCATTAAAAAAACTACAAAGAAAATCACAAAACGACTTTCTAGTTAACCAACGAGATTAAAAATTCAACAAAAAGATCTCTTGATGTTTTTTTATTAAGGCAATGTTTATAGTAGAAAACATAAGCCGTAAAAATTCAAAATAATAAAATCGTTGTGCCGTAATTTGAAGAAAAAAAAACGTATATTTCGTCTTTATGGTTTTCTCAATTATTATGAAAAATACTTTAGACATCAAAAAACTATGTGTGATATGTTAAATGGAACAAAATCGATTTCCACAATTTCTGGTAGAAAAGTTGCTCGGACAAAAAAAAATCATAATAACACCAATAGATTCCTTTCTACGCTCAGAATCTAAAGAACAATCCAGAATTAATATAATCAATTGCCAAATTAATAAACTCTTCAAAAAATACTATTCAGTGTTATGTCATTTTAAAGCAATATACACTTATACTAAACAAGAAGCTGGACAATAATATTTTAGAGAACATTTCAGTAATTCATTTAATTATATCAACAATAAATAAAATATTAAGTAAATAATTATCAACAAAATCCACAAAAAAATTAATTTCATAAAATAACTGAACAACAGAACGAGGTAAAAATAACTAGGTGGATAAAATGTACCTGCTCTCTAAGTCTCACTCTCACGTGGTAGAAATAACGAGAGAGTAAAATTCGCCTGATACCATTGTCGAAATTTTACTTTGCAACCCCCCCCCCTCCAGGTAAAATTTAAACAGCGATCGTATTCTAGAAATTTGTCATTTTGGTAAAAACAATTATTTTTATTTTAGTAAAATAATTATATCAAGATTAATGGATTTTTCCTAAGTTTTTCAGTTTATAGTTTTATTCGTTCACAGAGCGGACAAGACGAATTTCCGGCTGGTTCCTTTGTGTGGACTTGTGTGGAGGACCAATCTACATTTGTTGACATTAGAACCACTCTCCTAGTCTCATATCAGTAAATCCCACTGAAATATACTTGATTCAAAAATCAGAAGGCGGAGTACTGTTAATTGAAGTGCCCCTATAACATATCAATATACTATTATACTGGTGAAGATATTACCCACGTGCCTTGAAAAACAACCGAGTTTTTTCGTTGGGTTTTAAATGAAAAAAAAAGGTCTTGCAGCGAAAAATAATATAATAGTGAGTTGACGTAATGGGTACGGTAACGAGTCTAGACCCTTCACAGAGATCATTACAAGTATATCCGGCCATAACATTATAGATAAAATATTTAATGACTTTTTTTTGGTTTATCAACCCGAAGATTGATTTTTAACACATTTTCACAATAAACGCCTTTCCGTTTTTCTCTATCATTCACCATATTCTTGAACTCCCTATAGGAAGTGAATCCTGTATCCTGCATTATTTGGCTAATGTATTTCGTCCTGGGTCTTCCTCTTGATCTTGTTCCTTCTATCATTCCTTCAATTATTAAATTATGCAATTCAACTCCATGCCTCAACGTGTGTCTTATCATTTGCCATCTCCTTTTCTTTATACTGTCTATCAATGTTCGTTTTTCATCTATTGTCCTCAAGATGTCTTCATTTGATCTTCTATCAGTTCAGCTTATTCACTGCATCTTTCTCCAACACCACATCTCCATAGCTTCTAACATATCTTTCTTTTTCTTATTAATTGTCCAGGTCTCGCTTCCGTATAATGCCACACTCCAGACGTATGTTTTTATGAGCCGTTTCTTCGTTACTATGTTCATATTTTTTGATGTTAATATTTTTCTCTTTTTAAGAAATGTATTCTTTGCTTCACTTATCCTGCTTTTGATTTCCTTGGTTGATTTCATCGTCTGTTATAATGCTGCCTAAGTATTTGAAATAGTTTACTTGGATAATTTCTTTGTTTTCTAACGTTATACGAGTATTTATAGATGGTATGTTTTTCTTGAAGCATACTAGGGCTTTGGTCTTGGCTGCGTTTATTTTCAGACTATATTCTTTGGACGTAATAGTCATTACATTTAATGCTGCTTGTAAGTCTTCCTCAGATGTTGCAAGAACGACTATATCATCAGCAAAGCGTTATTAGTTGTTATTAGTACCCCTCCTATTTTCACTCCAATTTCTTTTTATTTTAACCAAAGGTTTATGACATTTATTGCTTTTTCAATAAATATATTGAACAATGTAGGTGAAAGTGGACACCCTTGTCTCACACCTTTTTGGATTCTGGCGGCCACTGCTGTTGCATTAATATTAGTAATGGTTTTTTGTTCTTCATCAATTTTATAGAGAATACGTCTGTCTTTATAATTTATCTCTGTTTCTTCTAAAATTTTAAAGATACTTGTCAAATTTATGCTATCGAAAGTTTTTTCTAGATCTACAAAAGCCACATAAGTAGGATTTTTTGTCTCTTAATTTGCTTTTCAAGTATTACTCTCAGGTCTAAAATAGCCTCTCTGGTTCCTTTGTTCTTCTGGAAACCATATTGATCGTTCGCTATCCTAGCTTCTATCCTCTTGCTTATCCTTTTGCTTATAATTATTGTTAGTAATTTAGCTGTATGCGATATTAAGCTTAAGGTCCTAAAATGTTCGCACTGGTTGGCTCTAGGTATTTTTGGAATGATAACTAATCTACTACATCCAAAATCTCTCGGAATTTTCCCAGTCTCATATATTTGACATAACAATTCATACAGAGCATTCTTTATTTTATCTCCTGTCTTTTGTAGAAGTTCTGTGTTTAATTCGTCTGGGCCTGGAACTTTGTTTTTCTTCATTGTTTGAGTTCGTCTTCAAATTCTGATTTTAGAATTATTGTGTCTACATTTGAATCAAAGTCACCGTCGGTTGAGTTTTCAACGAGTAAGTCGATGTTTTCTTCTTCTCCATATGGTTCTTCTACGTATTCTTTCCATCTATTTGCTATCGTTATCTCGTCTATAAGTAAATTCGCCTCTTTATCTTTTACATGTGTGCATTGTGACTTTTTTTCATTGAAGTATCGTTTGAATTTATTTAACGACTAAAATAGTCGGAAAATTGTTATTCGTTATGACAAATGACATGTTATAAAATGTTAATTATAATTTTATATAACTGGGGTAAAATTAGCCTGTGACCGTCGAAAAATTTTACCTCGAAAAATTGTACACCTGAAATAAAAATTACGATGGGGTAAATTTCGTCTATAACACCGGATTGCTCAAACGTTCTTTATTATTTACAGACCTGTGAACTAACTATTTACAAACTTACCATTTATTATAATTTACAGAACCAAATTTGTAACTGTAACACATTGCAGAACAATTTATAGATCGATATTATCATTTTATCAATGTTATTATTGCCGAAATTTTTGATCGTTTTTTTTAAATTTATACATCTATTACAAAATGTTAATAACTTAATTTAGGCCTTAAAATATGACAATCCAACTAGCTCAGTGGCACACCTACTAACCCACCCGTCCAAATATCTACATAATTTTCCCTGCGGCAGCTACTTCAATAAATGACTGTTCGCCACGCAACTGACAACTAAAATGATTACAACTAGATTTTCACGTCGTCTTAATTCTTGACATATTATTTATGGTAGCCCATAAAAACGAATAACCAAACGATATTGGATTTATGTCAGCTTTTAAGCATAAATTTCGTTGAATGTTGAATCAGTCTCCAGGTTTTGTGTTTCATCAAAAATACATCCAGGGCCAGGTGCCAGCAATGACGGAAGTTTTGAAACAAACGATAACAAACAAAGAACAATCGAAAGCATTGGGTCCGAAACTCAAAAGTCACCCCAACGTAAATCGGCTATTAGTCGGGAACAGAGACGGAACAAACAACAAGGTTTTCGGAACAAACAAGAACAAACGAAGACCAATCGGAAGCCCCGGATTTGATTCCAAAATTCGAAAGTGAGAGTACGAAGGAAATACACCTAGGTATTCGTTAGGTATGACGTAAATAAATCTAAAGCTTTGCCTCTAATACCACAGCATTCCAGTTTATCAATCATAATAATACGATCAACAAAATAAAATGCTTTTTTTTTAAGTCTAAAAATATTGAAAATAATGTATAGAACTCGCGAGCATCCAATTTATCAAAAATATCTTTTTATTAGTTTTTTTACTGTTTAAATACTCATTTGTAATAATATATATATATATATATATATATGTATTCAAAAACAATTAATATGATGACCGCAACTTTTAAAAACCGTTTTAAAGTTTTGGAAATTTAAGGGGAAACCTTTTTTTACCCAGCCAAACATAATATCACAAGAGCGGAAAAAAACAAAAATCCTTATCCACTTTAATACATTACAGTGATTTTTAGATTTTTTTTTTTTTGACAAACTATTTCGTATCCGTAAGTTAAGTTAACTCGTTCACGGCGTTATATTTTTTGTTCAGTTTTATCATATAATATTATTTTGTGAATATCGCTGTGCTGACGTGCATGCAGAGTTCGTATAACTCAATAGCTCGATACTTCGATAAAACATTGAGGGGGAAAAAAAATCACTTAAAATAACGCAATAAAGCCGTGAAACGAACATTATACCTAATAATTAGGGCTCGGAACTTATTGCACTTGAAATCTACAAAAAACCGATTGAAAACATCAAAAAAAACCAATGAAAAAAGCACTTGAAAAATATAAAAACAAAAAACAAAAATAAAAAACGGTATATGGGTTTAAATGTTTCGCATCTAACGACTTCAACTTATTAGATACGATTTTCTTACGCTACTTACACAAATTGTTATAACCCAAAGTTATTTTTTTGATATAATATACGTACAATAATATTTGAACAAAATAACTTTTCGTTAATCATTCGTGTCGTTAGGTCAGGGATCGTTATACCCTTCTATCGATTGGTCTAATAATATTTGCTCGAAGTGCTTTTTTCCAAGGATTTTTTGACGTTTTAATTTTTTTTGTGAATTTTGAGTCCTACAATAATAATTATCAAATTTAAACTAGGAAAAGGTAATTAGGTAATTTAAAAGTGAAAAAAGAGCTGATACTGAGGACGGGTGCGGCCAGTGTTGTAGGTGCAGGATAGTTGGAAAGGTGGAGGATACATAAAGTTATTCAATTTATATCTGTAATCAACGATAAACCATTGCTGACGAAAAACGATTCGGAGCGAAGTTCGGTTAAACATGTTTTACAGAAAGGCCTTGCGATTTTCGTCAAAATTTGATTTTAAAACTCTTAAGCCTTAGTTTCCTACAATCACGCGTTCGTGAATTTTCATTCACACTTGTGTGATGCGTGATATAGGTGTTTTGCTTCACTATGCGTGATTATGACTTTAGGATTTAAAGTTAATCAGTTAGCGTCAGACAGTCGAACAAAATGGACGAAACAGATTCGGCACTCTACAATTTGATCGAAGATGGTGCAGATGATGAACTTTTACTCATTTCTTTGTATTTTAGAGAAAAAGTAATGATATGTATAATGAAAGGAAGATATAAAGATCTTTGAATAATTTTATTCAAAAACGTTTAATTGATAATGAATAAAAATTCAAAGCTTATTTTAGATTGTTCTTTGAGTATAATAATATACTAAATTATATGAAAGAAGATATTAGAAGGCCACTGAATAATCGTGTACAAAAACCAATAACTCCAGAAGTTACCGAGCTGGATGATGATATATGAAAATAGTTGGACGGTCGTACAAGTTTACGAATTCACTATCTATGTATAATAAAATGTATCATGGCTGACTGGTTAAGTATATCACGCTATGATAGCTAAAGACTTGAAATTTTCATGGTACCTTCGAACCACCATGTAAGGCCGTAAGAGTGCACTAAGAAAGGATTTTTAAAACTTTTTCTAGTTAGGATTCTAATCTGTTAACAATTTTTCTTTTCTGTGTATTATATTATTACCAGACACAGATACTAAATATATATATATATATATATATACATATAAATAATAATATTATTATTGTAGCAAGGAGCAACCATGGAGCCTGGAGGTACTAAAATATTTTTACGGAAAATTTCACCTGTATTTTTTTTTATTATTATGAGTTCTTGTAGTTTTCATTTTTCATCCTGTGCGCGTCACGTAAATTTTGCCGTGCAAGCTGCCAGGACGCGATTCGAATGCGTGAATCATCAATCCTACGCGTGAATTATTGAAAAACACTAATAATTTTAATATTCACCAGGTCATATATCATTTAAATATTTTAAAACAATAATATATTGTAGAATGTGAGTACTATTTCAAATTGGTTTTCACATAATATTATATAAATGTCTCAGCGCGAATAGCATTTCGTTATTTTACACGATTAGGCGCCTGCGCTATTTATTATACCTAGAAAATATGGAATATATCATTAATTCACGACTGATTTAAAAAAAAAAAAACGAGGGACATTCGTATGATAAGTATCCTAATCCGATTTCGCTTATTTCTATCTCTAGTTACGTATAATATTTCTATAGACGCTTAAGGGTCTATTCGATTATTATTGTCTGCGTATATTATTCGTGAGGCATGAATATTCGACAAAAATCGCGGTAATAATATTTGCTCGTTTCGTTTTATTGTATACGCGTAACAATTATATTCACTTTACCACACGGTAAGCAAACAAAATCGTACATAATATTATCGCTATGTTTTTTATAGCGCCGCGTGCCGGTGAATATAATAATATAGTATTATAAACGCAGTGTCTGCCATAATATTATACACATTCTGTACTTCAAACGGCGAATATTTAGTGAGAATACTTAAACGGTTTATAGTAATGCAGGCATTATAATATTTTACGTTTGATAATATTATACGGCGAGTTACAAAGGGCGACGACACTACACGGCGTTGCGCTTATGATACTGTCTACAGTCCGTGTAATAACTCACCTACCTACGCATTAGGTACGCCTTTGTACGCCGTCGCCAGGGGTTTTGCACACTGAAGAATTTTAGATCGTCTTCTGTATTATTCGGTATTTCGTACCCATTTGTATAAAACGTAAAATAAAATGTCAGTGTTATAAATTGTTTCATAATTAAAATTTGCCCGAGAAAAGCACAAACGATCACGGATAACACACAAGCAAATAAAAGGAATACCGAAACGATCTCATGTTTATTACATAGTTGCACGAAGCGAACAATTTAATATCATTGCATATCTCTTTTCACTGATTTAATGTTTTTTTTTTTTTTTCTGCAAATAGATTACCTACCTCTGATGGTAATCAGTTAACGTGAGAGGATAAAATTATTAACAAAACCTCCGTAAAAAAAAAAACATAAATACATGGAAATCCTACATTAATGGGAGGGGCGGATTATAGATACACATATTTAGATACCTACTGGTAAATACGAGTACTCAATGCAATAATTCCTTATTATTTTATAATGAACGCTTTTATTTTCATAAACTGCATCGAATTTCATTACTCAATTATTTCGAATACAAATTTAAATTTAAAAGTTAAAACATTTAAATCATAATATATAACAACGATATGCAGTAAATATATATTTCAGACGAATATGAAGACATTTCATATAGAAAATAGAAGATAGAAGATATTTTTAGGACAAAAACCCACGAGATGAGCTATCGCGCCCCGGTTGGCAATTGATGGTCGTCGTCGCTCAGTCGGTCACTATAATTATATTGTAATCAGCAATTTTTAAATTTAAGTTGTTATACAAATAAAAGACGAAGATTAAATTTCTGACTGAATAATAATATAACAATATATTAACATAAGATAACACAAACCATTGCAATTCAATATACACCAAATTAAATAACACATTTTGATACGATCAAGGAGGGGGGGGGGGCCGCGCATAGTTTAGAATGTAATAAATAATAACAATAATAATAATGTATAAATGTAAATTTAATATTTTATAATCAGAAAATAAAAATACTTACCTAGTAAACATATTTTGTAATATAAATATTAAAATATTAAATTTTATGGAGATGATTTATTTATCTCAGATAAAGTCTAAGATAATATAATTCCCATTTATCTGGATAAAGATTAAAGATAAAAATATACCTATCTACATTATTTATCTAAATACATTTATCAATATAGAACACAACACTGGTTACCATTTGAAAATCAAAAGTAGGTCGTTTCGCGCTCAATATTAAAAACAATGTAATATTTTAGAATACAAGATTTTAAAAATAATCACCCTGTTGCCTTGTAATATTAATGGGGATAAATGATTTTCGTAGAAAATACTAAAAACATGCTTTTACACTAATTTTTATTTTATTCATAAATAGTTTAATTTTTGTTATTTGATTTACCACATAGTTAATTGTTGTATTCATTCACAGTAATTAATTTACTGGGGAATATCAATGATTACAAAAACTCAGATAGTGCAGGATGGCTAAAATAGGAAAATGCAATTTCAAAATATTAACGTTCACTAATTTTTCGTTTTTTGAAATCCAACTATACATTGGTGAACTAAATAGGTGGATAATATATTTATGGTTTAGTTTTAAGTTTTAAGTTTTTTTACTAATACTTACATTTCATACATTTTCCGTTTTCCGACATTTTATCCCAGATATTAAAAAAACCGCTTGAAAAAAAAATTTATCTCCCTAAATTACCGTGAATATAAATTTACAGACTAGACAGACTAATTTAATGTTATTTTAACTTTTAATGACATTAAGCAATTTGTTTACACAAATAATAATAATATTATGTCATTATTATTATGATTGATCAAATAATATTTCAATAATATTTAATCATATCATAAAATTTATATTACTACAGTATAAGTGACATTAATAAAGTATAAACCTTAAATAGATTTGACCTTCCATTTATAGTTCATAAAATATTACTCACGATATTGAAGTTTT